ATAATCAAGTTCTTGCTTTTGTTTTTAAATATAGTGATAAAGGCATATTAAAATGTTTATATTTTTATGAAATGTCCATCACTTTTCAAAATATTCTGATACACTCTCGTGTGTTTTATCCTAGCTTGTAGCTTCTGTGGCCACCATCAGTAACTTTATGATAAAAAAAAAAAACAACAACAACAACAACTTGATTTTTCTTTTTATCCAGTGAGGGGGGAAAAAAGCCCAGGGCCTTATATGTGGGACAAGCATTCTTTAACATCCCTAACTCCTAAATTAAAGCCTTTCATACAACCTTATGACTTTTGGAAATCTTAACCATCTCCCTCCTTGAAGCTGTAGATAAACACTATATTGAAGGGTCTTAAAACCACCAAAAACAGTTTCTGTGATTATTTTTGATAGCACCTGTTGACACCCATCTGCCTTTTCAGGCTCATTCTTTGCTTTTAGTTTTTCTGTTTGTTTTGTTTTGTTTTTCAGTCTGTTTTGCCTGCATGTATGTGTGTGTACCATGTGAGTACCATGTGTGTACCATGCCTTGACCTACAGAGTCTGTTGTTTTACTCTCCCGTTCCCTTCCTCCAGGCCGGCACTAAACCTTCCCTCTTTCCCGTCATTGCTCTTGGCTCATCCATCCCTTTGCTGCACTGGGGAGTCGCATCAGCTGACTTTTTCCGTCACGTTACTATAGCATGCCACACTTGGGTACAGAGGCCGCGTCTCCTCTAACCTGGTTTGTCTCCCTGCACAGTAGCTCGCAGACAAGAGGGAGCCGCTAAGTACTGGTTGAGTTTGGTTGTCGAATGGCTTCTGTGCTGCCAGCGGTCCAGAGTCTGCCCTGAGCATCCCTTAGGGTTCTCCTGGAGCCCCGAGAGCGTTTCTTTTGGCTCCCATGATTAATTGATCCTTCTGGGTCTTCTTTCTGACTAGATCATTGTAGAAGAATGGGGGAAGAAAAACTTAAAAAGTAAAGATAGATGAGAAAGAAAAGGGAGGAACTAAGAATAAGAAGAGAGGATGAAGAGAAATCGACCGATTGGTTTACATATCTGTTGCGTAGCTAAGCTACGTGTTTATAATGTCTGAAATTATTAACTGGCTTGTTTGTGACAAGAGCCTCACCCTCCTAACTGGCTCTCTCTACTGAAGATTGTCAAAGCTGTGCTCAAAGGTTCTAGGCCAAATGAATTAAAACTTTTGTAGAATGTTTATTATTTAAGAAACAAAGAATGTTTTTTCAAACCGGACCACACAACACCTTACATATCATGTATTTGTAAGGCTTGAGTACCTCTTTGACAATAACTCACATAACGCAAGGGAAAGGCTTTTCTCTTCCTTTTAAAGTAAAATCTTTGCTTTTCTCCAGAGCAAATAAGTGTGTTTCCTTGTTACCGCGCCTGTGGTCGGCAAAGCCTTAATTATGGCTTAAGGTTTTGAGGTATATGACTTTTTAAAAATTTACTATTTTACGTGTCTGAGTGTTTTGCCTGTATGTGTGTCTGTACTTCGTATGTGGTGCCTGGTGACCACAGAGATCAGAAGAAGGAATCGGTTCCCCGAGATTGGAGTTACAGCAGGTTGTTAGCCACCATGTGGGTGCTGGGAACCAAACCCCAGTTCTCTTCAGGAGCAGTAAATGCTCTTCACCATTGAGCCATCATTCCAGCCCCTGGAGGGTTTGGGTTTGTTTTTGTTTTTGTTTTCGTAGCTACCTTTCAATTTTTATATTGTGTAATAAGGACTGATAATCACTATGAAACACTCCTTACCTGAGAATACAAATCTAGTTGGGCAGAGCCATAGTCCCACCCAGAGCCTTTGACTGTGTACCCAACAGTGTAATTATAATGGAAAAATCTCTGAATTCGGTTAAAAGAAAATAATTATGAATCAGGGGGACACAATTGTAACAAAACAAATAATTCCATTCAAAGCAGATCTTCTTTACAAGCTTCCGGGTTTACTAGATACTAAGAACTATCTGTGGTCTGCACAGCGTCCTGAGCCATTAGGCATCTCTCACGCAGCTATGGGATGCGGTTGGGTTGAGGCATCTCTCACATGGCTGCGGGATGCGGTTGAGGCATCTCCCACGTGGCTGCGGGATGCGGTTGAGGCATCTCCCACGTGGCTGCGGGATGCAGTGTTCTCCCTGTCTTACACGAGCTCATCCTTCTGCAGGTGCTTCATGCAGACATCTGCACCCAAGGCCCCCTTCTGCAAAGTGCCGATGTCATTGTGATGAACAATGTCTTCGAATATTTTCTTACTGAGGCTGAACAGGCCAGGTATGTTATTTACTGAAGCAAGAAGTCTGTTATTAAAATAATATCCAGCAAGGTGTGAAAAGGGACTAGTGAGGTGGAAATGTTTTCATGCTGACTTTAAAACTCAACTTGTTTTTTTTAATAATTTTTACTTATTCTTTGACCGTTTCATACATGATATCAACTTATTTTAATAAGGAAACATTAAAATGCAAAATTTTGAAAAACGTGATTTTTGTAAAATGTATTTATTCTTTTTTTAAAGTTTACATGTATTTATTTATTTATTGGTGTGTGCAAAGCCTTCCTCTCCCCCCTGTGCAGATGTTAATAGTGTGTAGGAAATGACCACCAAAGCTTTCTCCCCCTGGATGTTTACCGCCTGGAGACTGCTCCCCTGCAGAGACTGACGGCTCCTCGCGAGATTAGCTCAGCCTGCTTCCCTGTCCGCTGTGCGCCAGAAGCCTGGCTCCTTGCTCAGCTGCATGTGATATCCCGTTCTAGTGTCCGTAATAAACACTGAGCTCCAGGGGCTGCGACTTCCCCGTCCGAGAGCACCGCCCACCCAGCCCGTCTTCCTGTACACGAGTCTGTGTGTCTCCTTACTTCATCCCCTCGCTGTCCCTAGTCAGGGTCCTGGGACCCAAGCCCTACGAAGATGCAGCTCTTCTGTAGTACTCTGTGGCAGTGAAGTCAGCTAAATAGCTAGTTGAGGGCATCCTGAGCTCTGGGAGACTTGTCTCAGATAAACAAAAAAATCGTACTAATAAAGATCGTACTGATATAGTTCTTTAGTCTTGTATTATACATCATTTTTAGGAATCACATCACAGTAAAAAAAAATAGCCCTAGCTAAAATAGTGGCATTTATTATTGAATGTTGCTATGTGATATTATACCCATCCAGGAAAAAAGAACCCTGTTTGTCTCGTAAGTAGTTTCTGAAACTTAGGAAACCTACTAGCCATAGCCTCAACCAAAAATAAGTGCAAATGATAGACACCACTACCCACCCACCTCCCCCATCTCACTGCAGGGCTGTGTTCCCCTGTATTGTCTCACTGGCGCCCCCCACTGGTGTGGGGAACTGTCAAGATCATACATAGTGTAGGCGTCCGGTGCTTATTAACCCCGAGAGTTAAACAGAACTGGTCAGAGGTACACTGTACTCTGAAATGCATCAGCAGGTTCCATTTCGTTATCCTTTAGAACTGACTGGTCCCACCAAACCTTGCAGGTGCCTTGTGATAGTGGGATTCCACCCCAAAATACTACAGACAGCCAAATGAGGTCTGGTTTCGCTCTTGGTGTGAGTGTGAAGAGATGTACTCCACACATCTGCAGTCATTCTCGGTTCCTGGCCTCTGTGCCCTCTGCTTTCCCAGGACTCTTCATCTCCCTCAGTCCCTAGCAACCTGAGCCCTGGCTTCCGTCCGAAGGACTGATTCTCAGGTGCCTCATGGAGGAACTACAAAGCTTTGACGCTGGTCCCGCCTGACTTGTGTGACTCTGAAAACTCCGTTTCTTCTTATTCAGAAACTTTCCAATAGCCCACATCCCCATCTTGTTAATCTCAGAACTGTAACCTCGTAACTCGGCCAACACCCTCAGGAACTGGAAAATTTGCCATTTTCTACTGTGTTGCTATAGTTCTGTTTCCTGTGGGTAAACATTTTGCCCATCTAGATCTCTAGATACTGTCTGCATTTTCTTTTGTCATCCTTATTCAGAAAAAAAATCCAGTGTCGAGTAAAAGCTAACATGTCAGGTTTTTGCTTTGCTTTTCTTAGTGAAGTTTTGAGTTCTCAGCAAAAGTGTAAAAAGATAAAGATTTCCTGTACGCTCTACCCCCGCACCTACAGAATCTGCCATTATCATTCTTCCCATCAGAACAGTATGTTTATTATGATGGATCTTTGGTACGCCAGAAGTATGACACACACTCAGCCTTAAAACATGGACAATAGTTCATGACCCTCAAAATCCCCTGCTCAGCCCTTCGTCCTGTCCTCCAGCCTCACCCTTGGCAGCCACCAATCCTTTCACCGTAGCTTTCGGTTTCCAGCATGAGGTAACTAGACTCGTACAATCCAGAGCCCATACAATCCAGGTTCTTTCTCTAGCAATAGACATTTGAGGTTCCTCTGTGTACGTGACTTGAGCACACATTTTCTTTAGTGCTGAACAATATGCAGTTGTCTTCATATATCACAATTTATCCATTCCCCTGGAAGGACATCTTGGTTGCTTCCAGGGCGGGCAATTATGAATAAAACTACAGTAAATATCCATATACAGATCTTTTTTTGTAAATACATGTTTTCAGCTTTGTGTAAATAGCAAAGTGTACAGTTGCTGGATTGTATGTTAAAGACTATACCCAGGGTTTTGTTTTTCGTTGTTGTTTTGTTGAGATGGTATTTAACTTTGTAGCCAAGGCTGGTGCCCTGAAGGTCCCTGTGTTCTCCAGGCTGTCCCCTGTTTCCTCAGTGCTAGGACTCCAGGTGTGTTCCACCAGACTTGGTTGGGGCTGTAACTTAGAGGCAGAGTAGATTGCTCAGCATGCTTGAGGCTTTCTCTCCCCTGCATAAGAGAAAAAGATGAGACATTGAACGAGAGCGCCATCTCTTCTGACTAATATGTAATATTATCTTCCTGTTGTTTGATTGTATGAGTTTTTAATGTGTTCTAGGGCCTGGAACTACATCATCCAAAATGTAAGGAAACAAGGGTCACTGTTAGTGACAGTACCGAGTCTCCAAGATTCTCTCGTAGGTCTTGAGGTACGTAACCACTGTTCCTTCTGTTGATTGCTTGGTCAGTTTTGGTCGTGGTAGAAAGTAGAACTAGGACTCCTTAGCTGGGCAGGTGGGTCTCTGAGTTCGAGGCCAGCTTGGTCTATAGAAAGAAAACCCGTCTTGAAAAATGCAAACAAGCAGAAAATCCCTAGGGCTACTGCATGCTAGGTAAGCACTGTACTGATCCATAGATCACCAGCCCTTCAACCTTTTTCTTGTCAAAACTTGGCTTTTTTCTGGTAACTGTTATAACATTCTAGAAATAGCAAGACAGTGTTGCTAAATTTCTACTTTGTGGTTTATTTTTCTGCCCTCAAAACATTGAAATGCAATTCATATCCGGATATAGATCCCCTTATTTCTCTACACAGTTTTTAATAGCTGTGAGGCCATAGTTGTAGGTTAATAAACACTAGTGAATGTCAGTAAGACACTAACCCCCACATCATAGTGGAAGGGAGAGGGGAACCCAGCCACATGGGAGGCTGAGACAGGAAGATCACATGAACCCACTGAATGAGACCAACCTGGGCAACAGAACCCCCTTCTCCAAAACTAAACTGGAAAAATGAGTGCCCAAATCATAATACTGATCTTTAGAACAGAAGGAATGGATGATGAGTGCATTTTTAGGTCAGTCAGGCTGCATATTGATTCTCATACAAAATAAAGGGGCTGCCGTGGGGTCAAAGTTGTCCAAGGATTTCCAGTAGAGTGGAAGACTGTGTTCTTCGTGCAGCTTGATTTCCCAGGTCAATTTGAAATCTGCCACCCAGGCTGGTCTACTTCAATGTGACGGTGGATATTAATAGTCAGTCCCAGAGAATCTGGAATCACTGGGATCCGAACTCGGGTCCTCATGAGTGTGCAGCAGGCGTGCTTGAACCCGGAACCATCTCTCCTGCCCTAATTCTGCTTGTTACAGCATAGGAAGTAACGGAGAAATGTGTAAAGAAAGACAGTAATCCTGATTGCCAGCTTCATTTCCTCCCTGTGAGAGCCTGCCCGTCAGTAATGTGATCTGTCATAGTTTTCTCATAGAAACGTCCTTTTAAATATATTGTCAGTCAGGCACAATGGCACACGCCTTTAATCCCAGCACTTAGGAGGCAGAAGCAGGAGAACGTCTGAGTTTAAAGCCAATCTGATCTACATAGTGAGTTCCAGCCCAGCCAGACCCTGTTTAAAAAAAAAAAAATTCTTTCTAAATTTCTCGTTTATAATATTTCTATTTATGAGCCAATTTAGTGATTTTTTTTTTCACTTACCAAAATAACAGCTTTTTAGAGATTTATTTGTGTGTATAACTGCTTTGCCTGTGTATATATATGTGCACCACAGGTTTGCTTGGTGCCCATATTGGTCATAAAAGAGCATCAGATCCCTGGAACCGGACGTAGGAATGGTTGTGAGCCACCGTGTGGGTGCTGGGAACCAAATCTGAGTCCTCTGCAAGAGCAGTACGTGCTCCTAACTGCAGAAACATCTCCCCAGTCCCACAAATATCGGCTTCATTGACTGTGCACATGAATCTGCCCAAACAGCCATTGACACCTGTAATTCCGGCAATCCGGAGGCATCGATGAGGAAGTTCATGAATGACCTCAAGGCCGTCCTGGCCTATATCAAAAACTCTGGTCTCAGAAAACCAACACATGAGGTCTAGAGAGATGGCGTGTACCCAATGCATGAGTAGACATGCATACAAAAAATAAATACAATGATTTGTTAAAATTTTTTAAAAGTTAAACATATTGGTGCAAGTCTATAGTCCCAGTACGTGGGAGACTGAGGCATGAAGATGGTAGACATTGGTGCAAGTCTATATAATCCCAGGATGTGGAAGGCTGAGGCATGAAAATTGTAGACATTGGTACAAGACTATATAATCCCAGCATGTGGGAGGCTGAGGCATGAAGATTGAAAGTTGCCTGGAGGCCAGCCTGTCCAAAAAATTAAAAGTTCATAAAATAGATCTTATTCATAAGCTGATGACTTTGTTGTTTTCTTACTTAAGAAAACAACTTTAAGCCGGGCGGCGGCGGCACACGCCTTTAATCCCAGCACTCGGGAGGCAGAGGCAGGCGAATCTCTGTGAGTTCGAGGCCAGCCTGGACTACAAAGTGAGTTCCAGGAAAGGCGCAAAGCTGCACAGAGAAACCCTGTCTCGAAAAACCAAAAAAAGAAAAAGAAAACAACTTTGAGGCCAATGTGGTGACTCGGCAGGTAACAGCCCTTGCTGCTGAGGCCTGGCCACCTGGTTCAATCCCCAGCTTCCACATGAAGAAAACTGACTCCGGAGGGTTGTCCTGAATGTCCACATGTGCCTGTGTGACAGCGGCTGACCTTGTTTAAACAGAAAACTCCCTGACAGAGATGTGTGCGGTCGGAGCTCCAGAGTGTGGAGGGTTTTGGGTACAGCTGACGCAGGTCGTGGAGAGAGGTTGCTCCTCACCGGTGCTGTGGGAGGAGGGAGAACAGCTTTCCATGTGTTCCTGCTGCTTCCATCTTTGATTGTTTGAACCTTATGATCATTACTACACTACTTACATTCAAAGAATTATTCTAGGGGCTGGAGAGGTGGCTCAGCTGTTGACAGCACTTACTGTTCTTGCCGAGGAGCTGGGTTCATTTCCCAGCACCCACATGGTGGCTCACAGCCATTCAGAACTCCAGTTCCAGGAAAATCCCCTTTCTGAACTCCATGGGCACCAGGCACACATAGGTGATGCACAGTCTACACACAAGCAAGACACTCATAGACATAAAATAAATAAATCTAAAAACATTTTATTTAAAAAAAATCTTTTTAAAAATTTTTTTCAAGTTCCAAAATCAGAGTAAAATAAATCTCCAAACCCACAAATTGAGAACAACAAAGATTATCCGTGTGGTACTATATTACCATGAACAGTACTATATACCATTCATGGTAATAAAAATCCTGTGGTGTGGGGGGCTGGAGAGACGGTTCAGCAGTTAAGAGCAGTTACTGCCTGCAGAGGACCTGGATTCAGATCCCAGCACCCATGTGGCAGCTCACAACTGTCTGTAACTCCAGTTTCAGGGAATCTGCCTCCTTCTTGTGGCCTTTTTGGGGACCAGGCACAGACATGGTACATGTACATGCATGCAAACATTACTAGATATAAAATAAAATTAATTCCTTTAAAAAAAATCTGTTGTGTAAGTTAGGGTGATACTGTGAAATTCCAAATAATAGGATCGTTCTGAAATTTTCATATTGTTTATGCTATTTTTCTCATAGATTAATGTGCAGCTGTCCTCCTGGGTGGAAGAGATACCACTGGACCTCGATGTGTACCCAGAAAGGGACATTGACAGAGAAGCTCTGGAACAAATTCACTTATATAAGGTTCTCTAGCACTGAAGCAACATCTCTAGTGTGGTGTTAACCCATCTGCTTTGTGTATTCATTTCAAGTTTTATGTGTATGATTATGTGCCTGTCAATAGTTGATATGATTATCCATATACACTAGCTGTATATGGATATAAGAAACTGTAATTAGATAATTAAATATTTATCTGAAATGTTTTGTTTGCCCTTTTATTCTGTTACAGACATAAGTGTACTTGTTTCTTTTACATGCCACCTCCACTAGTTTGTTGGTGGTGGTGGTTTTGGTTTTTGAGACAGGGTTTCTCTGTGTAGCTCTGATTGTCCTAGATCTCACTCTGTAGACCAGGCTGGCCTCGAACTCACAGAGATCCTCTTGCCTCTGCTTCCTGAGTGCTGGGATTAAAGGCGTGCGCCACCACCACCCGACTGTTACATGCCACCTCCAAATGTGACCTCCAGGAAGTCCGAGAGTGGCTTCCCTCATGTGAAGGAGAAGGCAGATCCCACTGTGTCTCTGTCCGGGAAGACTTCTTTAGACAGCTTTGTCTGAAGAGCCTAATGTAGGACTCACTTCTAGACAGAGCCCCCAATACTGTGTGGACACTTGGTTAGAACGTCAAGTTAAAACCGCCTGAGGTTCTTCCCTGTGCTTTCCTTTATTCCCTACCTCCCCCACCTTTTTTAAGACAGGGTCTCCTTGTGTAGACCAGGAGACCCTCGAACTCGCAATCCTCCTCATATGCCCTGGAATAACACTTGAGCTTTTCAAAAGCAACTAAAGCAAAAAGGAAAAGACAAGTCCTGCCGATAAACCATCACTCTGAAACACTGGCTGAGCATTTAGTCTCCCTCTTCGTTCATTTTTCTTTGCCAAGCAGACATTTTTATTTAGGGCGAACTGCAAGGTGCAGATAGAGCTGTGCTTTCTGTCTGCAGACGGAGCACAGACTCAAGAAATACACAACCCAGTCCGTCCGCTCCCAGAAAGAAGCTACGTGAGGCATTCTGGAAACCCGCCTGCCTCGGGCACTGCAGGGCCCTTGAATGGAGCACAGACTTAGAAAATACACTCACCCAGTCTGTCTGCTCCCAGAAAGAAACGACTCGAGTAACTCTGGAAACCCGCCTGCCTCGGGCACTGCAGGGCCCTTGGTTTCTAGTACAATATGAAGCTTGAGAAGGACTTTGTGGTGATATATTGTGTATCAAATAAAGCTTGCCAGAGGATCAGAGGACAGAGCCAGTCACTAGATTAAACATAGAAGCCAGGCAGTGGTGGCACACACATTTAATCCCAGCACTCAGGAGGCAGAGATCAGTCTGGATCTCTGTGAGTTCAAAGCCACCTGGACTATATTCGAATGATTCAGTCTAGGAGAGAAACAAAGCCAGGCAGTGGTGACACACACCTTTAATCCCAGTACTTGGGAGTCACACGCCTTTAATCCCAGCACTTGAGATCTCATACCTTTGCTACCAGTATTTGGGAAGCACACATCTTTAATCTCAGTACTAGGAAGGAGGTGAAATGGCTGGACAGAGAAAGATATATAAGGTGTGAGGAGACAGGCAAGAGAGCCTTTTCAGCTGAGGACTCAGAGGCTTCCTTCCAGTCAGAGGGTTCGTGGAGACAGGATCTCTCCTTCCATTCAGCCTGAGGATTTGGTAGTGGTGAGAAGTCTCTCTGGTGGCTTGTTCCTTTGTCCCTCTGATCTTTCAACATTTACCCCAATATCTGGCTCCGGGTTTTCATTATAAGACCATTTAGATTTCATGCAGCAGGACGTAGCATGATGAGTCCTTCTGGACTCATCCTACCCTGGGACATCCTACTCTCCTGGTAGAACACTAAGTGGTTTGGGTGGTTTGGAAAAGTCGGGCAGCTCCTCACAGTGCTGAAGGAAGAGTTGCTGTGTGACCTAGCAGTTCCGCTCCTAGTAGCAGTTCCGCTCCTAGAAACACAGCCAGGAGAAGTGGAAATCGTGTACAAACGTTCATATCACCAGTACCAACCTAATGTGAGGTGTGGTGGTGGCACTTGTGTGAGCCCAGCACTCGGGAGCCTGAGATAAGATTGCCAGTTCAAGACCATCCTTAGCTACATGACAACCGCATTTTAAAAAAATGGGGTGCGGGGGGTGGTGGTGGGGGGCTGTATACTCATGATTCTTAGAGAAGGTATTAAGAATTATACAGGTTTCATTGGGTTCATCAGGAACCAGGATGATTGTTGGCACTATCACTATTGTGTGTAGGCATAAAGCCTAACTGGAATCTAACCCGACGGTCTTCTCTGTGTTCCCTGGGGACCTGGCTGGATGTCCACCGTATCCATGGTTGTCATCCATTTATAGCACTAGGTATAAATTTTACTTTATGAATGATTGTACACATGAAACAAGGTGAAACTTGCTGACCAAAATGGAAGAGACAAAGCAGGATGCCCCCAGGTCAATAAGGCATGGGGTCTAAAACCAGTGGGGTAGGCTAGCCTTTTTTCCATACTTAATAAGAGTTTGCTGGGGATATTGACAGATTAGTAGTGAGGCCAGTGTATACATTTATATTCAAAACTGAAGGATCAGGGGTGGGTTATAGTGATACCCACTTGTAGCCCTGCACTTGGAAGGTAAAGTGGACGCAGAATGATAACTTCAAGGTCATCCTCCACTACCTAGGAGGTTCAAAGTCTGCCTGGGCTATATGAGACCAAAAGTATATGCCTCCAGAATGACTCCTTGCAAGAAAAGAGGTGGTTGTGATCAAATACATATTTACAAGGCTCTATGTACACTTGGAATTCTAACTAGTTCTTAGTACTGCATCTGCTGTTGGTGTTGTGCATGGTTTTACTGAAATGACTTCATGATCATGGCGTGGCCACAGTACAATATGTTTATTATGATGGATCTTTGGTACTAAAAGCTTTCCATGGTGAAAACTGCTC